AGATCCAGCCTACTGCCCTCACATCTACAGAGGGTACGGAAAGTATTCAGACCCTTTTAAACTTTTCACTCTTTGTTTCATTGCTAAAATCAAAAAAAGTTAATTTTATTTCTCATTAATGTACACTTAGCATCCCATTTTGGCAGAAAAAAAAGACGAAGAAATTTTTGCAAATTTAAAAGAAAAACTGAAATATCACATGGTCATAAGTATTCAGACCCTTTGCTCAGTACTGAGTAGAAGCACCCTTTTGAGCTCGTACAGCCTTGAGTCTTCTTGGGAATGATGCAACAAGTTATTCACACCTGGATTTGGGGATCCTCTGCCACTCTTCCTTGCAGATCCTCTCCAGCTCTGTCAGGTTGGATGGTGAATGTTGGTGGACAGCCATTTTCAGGTTTCTCCAGAGATGCTCAATTGGGTTTAGGTCAGGGCTCTGGCTGGGCCAGTCAAGAATGGTCACAGAGTTGTTCCGAAGCCACTCCTTTGTTATTTTAGCTGTGTGCTTAGGGTCATTGTCTTGTTGGAAGGTGAACCTTTGGCCCACTTTGAAGTCCTTAACACTCTGGAAGAGGTTTTCTTCCAGGATATCTCTGTACTTGGCCGTGTTCATCTTTCCTTCAATTGCAACCAAGCGTCCTGTCCCTGCAGCTGAAAAACACCCCTATAGCAGGATGCTGCCACCACCATGTTTCACTATTAGGATTGTATTGGGCAGGTGATGAGCAGTGCCTGGTTTTCTCCACACATACTGCTTTGAATTAACTCCAAAAAGTTCAATCTTGGTCTCATCAGACCAGATAATCTTGTTTTTCATTGTCTGTGAGTCCTTCATGTGTTTTTTGGCAAACTCTCTGCGGGCTTTCATATGTCTTGCGATGAGGAGAGGCTTCCATTGGGCCACTCTCCCTACTGCATCTCTGGAGCTCAGCCACAGTGATCTTTGGCTTCTTCTTTACCGCTCTCACCAAGGTCTTTTCCCACGGTTGCTCAGTTTAGCTGAACGGCCAGGTCTAGGGAGAGTTCTGGTCGTTCCAAACTTCTTCCATTTAAGGATTATGGAGGCCACTTTGCTCTTAGCAACCTTGAGTGCCACAGAAATTCTTTTGTAACCTTGGCCAGATCTGTGCCTTGCCACAATTCTGTCTCTGAGCTCCTTGGGTAGTTCCTTCGACCTCATGATTCTCATTTGCTCTGACATACACTGTGAGCTGTAAGGTCTTATATAGACAGGTGTGTGCCTGAAGTCCAATCAGTTTGGTTAAAAACACAGCTGGACTCCAATGAAGGAGTAGAACCATCTCAAGGAGAATCAGAATAAATGGACAGCATGTAAGTTAAATATGAGTGTCACAGTAAAGGGTCTGAATACTTCTGACCATGTGATATTTCAGTTTTTCTTTTTTTAGTAAATTTGCAAAAATTTCTACATATGTTTTTTTCTGTCAAGATGGGGTGCTGAGTGTACATTAATGAGAAATAAAATTAACTTTTTTGATTTTACCAAATGGCTGCAGTGAAACAAAGAGCACGGAGGATCCACAGAGTGGGATGGAGGCTACGGGCATAGTTGCAGTCCAGGTGGAAGTACACACAACAGTCAATAACACCATTGAATTAACAGATTCTCAGGAAGACCCAGTACAACTCTCACCTTCACCCTCTTTATTGAGGGCCTTTGACACAAACTGTTTGTAAAAATAGGCTATACAAATAAAGTTGCCTTACCTTGTCTGTGTGGACATTTGGGAACAAGTGAATTTAAGAAATATAAGGCTGCTACATGTTATAACACAATACCTGTTTTTTTGGTCTGTTTTATAGGACGACATCTGACCACGAGACGTTCCGCAATCATTTGCTAATGTATGAAGGCAAACGCTTCACCTTTTCTCCACCTGAGGATGGAGCCAGAACATAGTGCCAGAAAATAGTAAATACCTTCACATTCAATTGGCCAAGTATGTACCTCTAAAGGGTCTTACCATAAAATATTCAATACCAAAAGTGCACTTGTTTTACCTAAGCCAGCATCTAATAAAAAACAAAACAAAAAAACCCAACCCCCTGTTACTGTTCTCCACAAGCAGGCATCCTCGCACAAGAATGTACTCACAGATCAGAAGACTTTCCTTTTATTGTATATTACAACCCAGATCTTAGAAAAAAAAAACTATGTGGTGTGATGCTCCGTTGCTCCGATGATGAGTCTAGCGTTTCCCAAAGCCGATCCACAGACTTTAGCAGATTGAACAAGTCGCTGAACTCCACACTCTTAATAGATGTCCAGCATCTTCCCTCTCTCCTCTCAATACAGCTGTTTACTGGGTTAGCAACGCACTGCTGCTCTGGCCAGCTGTAGCTAGCTAGCCAGCTAATATGCTATCAAACACCGTGGGCCAGTCTGAGCATGCAGTTAGCTTGGCGAGCTAACGGCTAACAACAAACTTACGCAGCAGAGTGACACAGTCAACATCCTTGTTGAAAGTTAATGGCACTCCACAGTTCAGTCTTAAGCCGCGTTCAGACCAAACGCGACCAGGTCGCGTCGCGTAGCGTTTGGTCGCTCAGGTCGCGTCGCGTGGTGCCCTGGTGTGTCAACACCGGGTCCAAAGCTGCAGTCGCGGAGGTCGCAGGTCGCGGCTGGTCGCCGATGATGTCATCACATTAACGTCAGTAGCTCAGTTTTCAGTGCGACCAGTGTTGAAGATGGACGTCATCGTGACCTGTGCTGCCGCATACCTTCGTGTCCGACATAGACGCCGCCGGCGTGTATGGGTGCATGAAACCATCCGGAGGAGGACGGAGATGGGTGAATATCACCGTTTGCTCCAGGAGCTCCGCCTCGACGATGGCCGTTTCCAGCGGTATTTCCGTTTGTCGACGGCGCAGTTTGAGGACCTCCTCGCCCGGGTGGGAAGCAGCATCTCCCGCCAGGACACCAACTACAGGCGCTCCATTCCAGCTTCGGAGCGCCTGTCTATCTGTCTGTGGTGAGTATAATCAAGTATAATTAATTTAAAATGAGCAGATACACTGGGCAAATAAGGCAAAACTGCAAAGTTTATCAGCTTTCTGTACACTGAGTTCCTCCTGTGAGCTGCTCTTTGCCTCTGTCCTTTAATATCCAGTCAAAATAAAACTTCTCTTGCACACACTAATGTGATTTAGAAATTCTGTGAATCTGATCAATTTACTAAAGACAGATAATATAACTCCTGTGAAAATAATCCTATCTGATCAGACTGATAAGGTGCTGCTGAAGAAGTAAACAGGATTGGTCTGTGTCCTTTATTTGATCCACTCAGTAAAGTAAGAAGTTACACTGAAAAAAATTAACCCTTAACACATCCAATACATACTGTAAAAAAATTACCTGGAAATCAATCACTTTAAAATGACCAGATACACTGGGTGCTAGCATAAATGTTTGTGTCAAAGAGGATTTATGGACACTCAAATCTTCGGTTACGTTTCTATTTCATATGGCCTCATATTTTAAATAAAATTTGTAATGAAATTTATTTTTATGTGCTTTAGGTTCCTGGCTACTGGAGACTCCTTCGGGACCATCGCATACAGCTTCCGGGTTGGAGTTTCCACCGTGTCGGGCATCGTGGCAGACACCGTGTCCTGCATCTGGGAGTGCTTGGTGGAGCGGTGGAACTTCCCCTTGTGTTGTGGTGCAGTGGATGGGAAGCACGTGGTTCTGAAGGCTCCTGCCAATTCAGGATCACAGTTCTATAACTACAAGGGAACATTTTCTGTTGTTCTCTTGGCAGTTGTAGATGCCAATTATTGCTTCCGAGTGATCGATGTCGGAGGCTTCGGGAGGACCAGTGACGGGGGGATTCTGGCCAACTCTGCGTTTGGTCAGGCCCTATGTTCTGGCTCCCTCCAGCTGCCTCCGGATCGGTCACTGCCTGAAGCTGAACACAGGGGACCCCAACCTCATGTGTTTGTTGCAGATGAGGCCTTCCCGCTCCGGAGAAACCTCATGAGGCCGTATCCAGGGCGCATCCTCCCCAGAGAGAAGCGCATTTTCAACTACCGGCTGTCCAGGGCGCGGCTGGTGGTTGAAGATGCCTTCGGCATTCTTTCCACTCAGTGGAGGATGTACCGACGTGCCCTTGAGGTTTCTCCAGATGTTGCAGAGAAGTGTGTGAAGGCCACCTGTATCCTTCATAACTTCCTGCGAAGGTCTCAGCCTGAAGCTGCCATGGGGTTGGGTGCCATCACAGGTGGTGAGGAGCCTCAGGCAGGGCTGGGACGTGTCGCTTCAAACAACCCGTCCCGGGAGGCCATCGCAGTCAGGCAGTCCTTCACCGAGCACTTGGCAGGACTTCTGGCCACTCATGGCAGGATTCCATCTAGTGCACTGCACCCCCACAACGGTTCTTTTCAGAGCCACCACAAACAACTGTTGAGCAAATGTCCTACATATATGTACAAGAATGTCTCCATAACTGTGTCTGTGTCCTGCCTCTCATTCTGCTCAGAGTACTGCAAGATACACACACACACACACAGACCCTTTTTATGCACCTGCAAAAACATGCTATTTACATATCCGATAGGAATGCGGAGGCTTCCTTTTGCCCTAGAAAAATTTACATTTTTAACACAACTTGGCTGGTCATTTCTCCAAAACACAACCATGAAGCGCCATCTAAACCTGAAGCAGGCAGTTGCTGCATGTACAGTCACCTGAGGGGAGTGAGGTGAGTGCTTCTGAGGAGAACATGAGCAGTGAAGATTAACCTTGGAGCCAGTTCAGGGACATGCACATGATTATACAGGGGCAGGGGCTCAATTTTTTTTCCAGTCCCTTATACAATATGGAAATTAATGTAAAGTGAAAAAACTAAGTACTAATTGAAAGCTAACGAGTGTCCTGTGTAGGTGAAAGTGATATGCAATTGCCATTTCTTTTGTGTCAACAAACTATTGTCAACATGACATGATCAAGATGGTAATATTTCAAACACAGATTACCTACATGCTGAAATTACTATCTATCTAACTATCTATTTACTAACTTTATTTCAGACCCAATAAGTCCATATCATTCAACAAGATCAGTATTATTATTATTAATTTGTTAGCCCAGACAACAGTAACGGTGTCATTACATTTTAAGGGGTGCACAAGGGTTAAGTAAAGTTTATACATCGAAGCACTGCAACCTAGTTATTTTACTTCATGACTGCATGTTAAAGAAGGAAACAAGGCAAAGTTGAGAAAACTTTATAATAACAATATTTATAACAACAAATACAACAATAATAATGTAACAATAATAATACTTTTTATAACAACAAATAAAACAAATTTTTGAACGGCTGCAACAGCAGATATAAAAATATAATACAATAAAAAATTTCAACTATATACACAAATTTACAAGTTGGATGGGGGGGGGGGGGGGCATGGCTGAAACAGAGGAGCCTGGCTCGTTCCCCCCCGAGGCTGTCACCCCAGCTAAGGTTCCACTGGTTCCAAATTCAGTGTGAAATCCTGAGCTTCAAAAACTAATTTATACATTTGAAATTTAACTTGCTCCTTAGCCTGGGGTGACAGCCTCGCGAGGGAAGGAGCCAGGCTTAGGAGGAAATGCTCCTCCTCGGGATAGCGAGATGTGGGTGGTGGTGGTGGTGGAGGGGGAGTCTGCTGCCTCCTCAGGGCCTGACAGAGGAGCTCCTCAATCTCCTCCAGTCGTGAGGAGGGAGGCGTCCTCCTCTTCCTCCCTGTCATAAAAAAAAACTAATCAGTTACTATTTGTTTTATAATTTCTATGTGACCTTGAGCAATTTCATTGAATATATGGTTAATATTTAATTTCTATACCTCTTGGCCTGGCTGCAGTGGGGCCCGAGGCATCACTTGCCGCAGTTGAGGGAGCAGGAGAAGCTGACGGGGCAGGAGAGGGAGCTGAAGCAGGAGATGGAGCTGGGGCAGGAGAAGGAGCTGAAGCAGGAGAGGGAGCAGGCTTATCTTTAGTTAAAGTTGTGACAAAAATGTCTGAAATCAAAACTCTGCAATCAGGCAACATTGTTATTCAAATAAAAAATGTTCACACATTACATGTGCATGACTTGATCTGTCCATCTTAAATTAGACTACAATGGTGTGTTTAAACCATGAGGGGACTCAAATTTATTTGCTATGTTTTTCACTCATCAACCAACCGTCAAACTCCACTCCTGAGGGGCCTGCTTCCTCCAGGTCTTCAGGCATCCCAGCAGAAGAAGCAGCATTTTCTGCGGTGAAGTCTTCCTCGACCTCCCGAGACATGTTGCTTGATGTGTCCCTCGGGGCAATAAAGGGGTCGAGGAAGGACATCACCGCAGTGAAACGCCACTTCCTCTGCTGGGAAGCCGCCGACCCGCTTCTCCCGCCTTCTTTCTCCCTCCTTTTCTCCCTCAAGTAAACGTCCCGCAGCCCCTTCCACCGCTTGCGGCACACATCCACTGCAAAGACACACACACATACGTTGAAACATGTAGCCTAGCATACAGGGGCAGTTAGCTATGTTTTCATAAAACTGTCCGCTCACTGAAATAAATACACAAACAAACTTACCAGAAAGCCTGACATCATGGGCCACCTTCACCCATGCCTCGTCCTTGGAGGTGCGGTCCCGGTACAGTCCGCACCCCACGTCGTACAGGACCGGGTGGAAGCTTACCGCCGTGATTAACTGTTCCTCCATTGTTTGATTTTTGATTTTCCCCTCCTCCTCCTTGCTTCGCCCGTTTGTTGACGTCAGCAGAGCCCTGATTGGCTGTCGCGGCACGGAGTCGTGGCTAGTCGCTCCCAAAGTTCAAATATTTGAACTTTGGGAGCGACGCGACTTGGCGTCCTGCGACCTCGGCGACGCGACCATGCGCGACCTCGGCGACCATGCGCGACCTGGTCGCCCGGTCGCGCATGGTCGCGTCGCAGGAAGCCGGCGGTCGCCAAGTCGCGTCAGGTCGCGGCTGTTCATAGACTTTGCATTGGGAGCCGTCGCTGAAGTCGCGGAGGTCGCGTCTGGTCTGAACGCGGCTTAAGAATGTCCAAATAAAACTGTTTGTCACATTTCTCCATATCACTACTTTTCATTCATTTGCTCGCTCTTATCACCGGCATCTCATCTCCATCGATCTCACCATGCCTTCTCTCCTAATTCCCATCATCTGACCTAATCCTTACTCCTGATTGGATTGGCTGTAACCCTCCTGCTACGGAAAACTCACAGGTCCAAAAAATATAACAGAGTATAAACATTTGCTAAACATTCTGTCAGTATCTGAGGTTAATTCTTTACAGATATGTATATTTGTGTACAAATGCATGTATGATCATCACAATCTACCAAAAAGTTTTAAAGGTTTCTTCTCCTTTAATTCAGAGATTTATTCTTATGTGACACGTCAATCAAAGGACCTTCATGTACCTTATTGTCATACTTCCACTAGGCAGTTTTCAATAAGATACAGAGGATCTAGGTTATGGAATGCCACTGACCCAAAGCTTAAAGAATCCTCATTACCAGTCTTCAAAGCCAACTACAAAAAAATGTTGATCGCCAAAAAATAGTTCTTCAATGTATCAACTTGTATGGTATTGTCTGTGGAGTTTGAGTTTGTACTTGCATGTATCTTACTATATGTATCTTATTGTTTAACATTTTAACTGAAGTATTACTATGTATAATCTATATACTGTATAGATTAATATAATGTATTAATCTTTTATGTGTTATATGGTTCTAATGATTGTTAATTGAGGGGAAGTTCTTTATAAGCCTTTAGGCTTCCAAACTTCTCCCGCACAGTATTGTAACACAGATGTATTTTGTTGTATTTTTTTTTTTGCATGTGCAAATAATCAAAATCAAATCAAAATCAAAAAAAATCAAACACAGTAAATAAAATACTCTTAGGCAATATCAAGGCATGTAAATAACCGAAAACACCCATTTCTTTTCAACAATAAACAATGTCACAAAATATCTTATTCACAAAACAATACCTCTTTCACCATATCTTTTTTTTTTTTTTCTTATTTTACACTTACGACACCATTTCAATAACGACTCTTTATTATGTCTCTTCTTATTAACCCAAAATAATAACAGGGTTACATAATAATAATAATAAAAAAAATATAACACGCTTTTACAGGTGCTCAAGACGCCTAACAAAGAAGAAAATATAATAAAAAACACCATTTTAAATACAGAAAATTTTGAAAATAAAACCAATGATGTCGAAGGTTAAAAAAGACACAATCTGAGAAGATAATAAAAGAACAGTTCACAGGTTTAAAGCCAATTTAAATAGATGTGTTTTAGGGAGTGATTTAAAAGTATGGGGGTCGAAGGACAGGGGTGATGTGTTGTAGGGAGTTGGTGCAGGTGAGCAGGCGGGCAGCAGTGTTCTGGATGCATTAGAGTTTATTGAGGACTTTGGATGATGAGCCGTATAGGATACTGCTGCAGTAATCTAGTCTGGATGTTATGAATGCATGGATCAGGGTTTTGGCAGCAGAGAAGGTGAGTGAGGAGCGGAGATGGGCAATATTTTTGAGGTGATAGAAGGCGGTCCTGGTGATGTGGTTAATATGGTGGTCGAACTTGAGTTGGCTGTCAAAGATGACTTCAAGGTTCCGGATGTGAGGGGAGGACGACGGTCATACTGGTGTGAGATGTGGGTCCGACGATGATGATGATGATGTTTAATTTGTCACTGTTCAATTTCAGGTAGTTTTTTTGCATCCATTTTTAAATTTCAGTGAGACAGTTGCTGAGTGTGGAGTAGGTGGTTTTGGTAATGGAGGGGACAAAGCACCAATCCCTGGAGGATGCCTTGTGACAGAGGAGCGGTGGTGGAGGTGCAGTTGTTTACGCTGATGAACTGGTGATGGTCGGTGAGGTAGGAGTGGATCCAGGTGAGTACCATGCCAGCAATGTGGGCTGAGGATTTCAGTTGGGCGAGCAGGATGGAGTGGTTGATGGTATCGAAGGCTGCTGTGAGGTCAAGGAGGATGAGGATGGTAAAGTGTCCAGAGTCTGAGGAGAGGAGGAGGTCGTTGGTGATTTTGAGGAGAGCTGTCTCTGTGCTGTGTTGTGATCGGAAACTGGATTGAAAGCATTCAAATAGATTACTGCAGGTGAGGTGGGTTCTTAGTTGAGAGGCTACAGCGAGTTCCGGAATTTCTGGTAGGAAGGGGACATTGGAGATAGGGCCGAAGTTACCAGGATTGTCAGTGTTGAGACCAGATTTTTTGATGATCGGTGTAATGGCAGCCAGTTTGAGGGTTTGGGGAACAGAACCAGAACTGAGGGAGGTATTAATGATGTCGGTGATGAGTGGGGAGATGACAGAGAGGTAGTCCTTGATGAGTTTGGATGGGATGGGGTCCAGGGTGCAGGTGGAGGTTTTTATCCCAATCATGAGAATTGTCAGCTGTGCTAGAGTTATTGGAGAGAACTGTGACAGGAGCTGGATGGTGGCAGGTGGTGAGGCAGGTAGTGAGATGGGAGGGGTTCCAGAAATGTTGAGGTTACTGTAGATGATGTCTATTTGTGTTTGGGAGTAGGAGAGGAATGATTGGCACTTTTCAGTTGTGAATGATGAGGGAGTGTTGTCATGGGGTTTGAGGAGTGAGTTTATGGTGGAAAAAAGAGCCTTGGGGTTGTTTGAGCCTGAGTGAATGAGGTTGGAGTAGTAGTTAGTCCAGGCAGCGTTGAGCGCATCTTTGTATTTTTGTAGGTGGTCTGTGTAGGCGAGAAGGTGAACAGATAATCCAGTTTTCTTGCAGAGTCTTTCCTGTTGGCGTTTATGGGATTTCATTTGGCGGAGTGCGGGGGTGTACCAGGGAGCAGAGTGGGTGAATGAGACAGTTTTTGTTTTGGCGAGGGCAAGCTGATCCAAGCAGGAGGAGAGTGCGCTGTTGTAATAGTTGACCAGCTCAATGGGGTCATCAGAGGGCAAGGGAGGTGAGGCAGACAGACAGTGGGTGAGAGTGGCTGAGAGAGCTGCAAGTGAGAGGGAGTTAAGGTTTCTGAAGGTTATTGTCTGGCTCTGGATTGGGGCAGGGATTTCAATGTTCATTATGATTGCCAGGTGATGAGAAAGCAAATTGTGACTGGATAAATGTTGAATGTTGAGTTTAGTGGAGCAAACCAAGTCCAGGATGCTACCACGGCAGTATGTTGGGAAGGTTACACATTGAGTAAGGTTGAGGCATTAGATCTAAACATTCTGAGGCTGGTTTATTGTCTGTGCTGTCAATATGTAGATTGAAGTCGCCCAGGAGGAGGACAGATGGTGAGATGGCAGGTAACTGGGTCAGAAAGTCAGCAAAATTTAGAGAGGAAGGAGGGATGTGGTTTTGGGGGGCAATAAATGATGGCTGTGACCAGAGGAGAAGGACCAGACATTTTGTAGGTGAGGTGTTCAAATTAAGGGGGTGGAGGAATGGGGATGGTGGATGTTTTGATGTTTTCCTGAAGATGGCAACAATGCCACCTCCCCGGTGTGGGTGTGCGGGGTTTGTCCATATAAGTGTAGCCTGTGGGGGTGGCTTGGTTTAGTGAGAAATAGTCTAGAGGTGTTTGCCAGGTTTCCATTGCCAGGAAGAGTGGAGTCTGAGGCTGTGTCCAAAATGAATCACTCAATTCCTAACCCTTAACCCCCCATATGGGATTTTACTATTTAGTAACATGGCATGAAGCAGTGCATGACGGGATGCCCACCACTGGTGAATGACCATCGGATGGTCACTACATTTTGCTATGCTCTATGGGAAATTTTGAGTTGCCTATATAGGGCACTGCAATTGACCACTGAGATTTCGGACACGCCTCAAAATGGCGCTAACCCCCATGTAGTCACCTATATAGGGGGTTAGGGATCCATTTCAGACACAGCCTGAGTCCGCGCTGTGAGAAAATGATTTGGAGTGAGGATGGACTGGGCTGGCAGCGGGGACAGCAGTTGGGACTGGAGAGGGAGCCCTCGACACCGGTCCTGGGCAAGGGGGAATCCCAGGGTGGCTGGGCGCGGCTGCTTTCAGGAGCTTTTGGTGGGGTGCGTGAGTGAAGGTGGCTGGCTTTGATGGCAGAGCAGAGTGGTCCTTTTTAAGTGGGGGAAAGCTGTCTTCATCCAGGATGGAAAACCTATTGGACAATTTGAGGGCTGAGGATGTAGGTGTGCTTTTCTGGAGAGTATTACACCATCCCTTCCGACAGGATCCGGTATCGGGAGTGAAATTGACCAGCGCCTTGGGCTTAGCTCCTAGCTGGGACCAGTAAGCTGTGTCCGTGGTTGCAGGATTTTTTGGAGACAGGAGTGGGACCGTTGAGTCTAATGTGCTCCTCTTCCTTCAGCTGGTAGAGCGTGGACATCCTCCCTTCCAGCTCGGCGATCCTCTGGCTAAGCCAGTGGAGCCATGTCACGATGGGGTTGGTGGAGGTTTTTGTGGATGAAATAAGCAGAACTGTGGCCAGTAACGGAGTTGGAATAGGTGAAGGGTTGTGTTTGTTTATGGTGGTAAGTTTAGGTCGGTGAGGTCAGCAGAGATAGTGGCACAGGTAGAGACTTATACGCGAGGGCTCCACAGAGGGAGCCCATGGCGGAGAGTAGATTCAGTATAAATACACAGGTCAGGGTTGATCAGTGAGACTTACTGGTGCAGGCCCATACACTGGGCTTGGTGAGTCAGATCGGCCTCCGGTAAGCCGTGTTGTCGGTCCTTGTGGGGGTTATCCCAGTGCTACAGTTAGCACCATCTTGGTGAAGTGTCTCAGGGGAAAAAGTTGAGGCAAGTAGTTCAAGGAGTCCTCAAACCCGGCAGGGTAGAGTTTTTTGTTTATTGACACTTTATTTCTGCAATTTTGTTTAAGACAAATGTCTTTCAATGATTCATGAAAAAAAAAACACCAAACCAAGCAATTAAAAACACTGTAAATGACCTGTTTTCCTCAGATCACGGTTTGACTAGGAAACCGGTTTTTACTAGGGCTACCATCTTGGTTTAGTAGTGTGTCATACTACATAAGTCAACTGTTTAGATTGTAGGTGTTATATAGTAAACTGTCATCATTTCAGGTTTACAATGTAGCTTTACCGGACTTGCTGATGTTTTTTTCCTTTTTTTTCTTCATTGATGTTAGTTTTGGCATATACTATACTACTTACTATATACAAGAAGCAGAAAGTGCAGACAAAAGAAAATGCCTTGTGTGTCATGATTGCATTTTGCAACTCAGGTTATGTGTGTGAATCTCTGTGATCAAATGATCAGCTCGTTATCAAGCTCTGGAATGGCTTAATAACAAGCTGATCATTTGAATCAGGTGTGTTGGAGCAGGGAAACATCCAAAACATGTAGGACGGGGGGGGGCTCAAGGACTGGACTTGAGAACCACTGCTTTAAGCCCTGCCTGGAAGACTGCAGATCGCCAGGGGCCTCATGTATCATCGCTGGCGGCGCCAGAAAACCGTGCGTTCGCCAAGATCGGCGCACACGTCCAGATTTATCATCGCGACACGAGCGTCGGTTCCAGCGCAAATCCACGCAAAGTGAGGAGGTGGTGTAGAAGTTGGCGTTGAGCCGATACTTGCGTTGACGGCACTTTGGCGACGCTGTGTGGCGGTGTTTGGTGACTCACTATGTGACAAGCGTTCACACATCGCAGTGGACCTGCACCACATCCCCGTGGCCGAGCAGCACGTCGCCCCACATGAGGAACCAGCAGCAGACGGCGGGATGCGAGCTGATACCTGCCGGGCCGCCGTCCTCGCGCAGGTGAATCTCATCGCCACAATGTGAATGGGTAAGAAGTGAATACACAGTTCAATGAGCCAAATTAATTTATTTTCTCCACCAGACACTCGAGGACATTTACGAGCCGGTCCAGCCTCTCGTTGATCCCCGCGATCCCCCTGATGATTTCTTCCTGCGATTGCAGGACCGCCTCCGTGAGGACCCTTCCACTGCGTCCGGGTGGTCCAGTCGGCGCGCTGGTGCTGGTGCTGGGGGCCGGGGTGGCCCAAATGCCGCTGGTCCTGGCCGACGACTCCGAGCCGGCGGACGGGCTGCCGCGGGCCGGGGTTCCGCAAGCCAGCGACACGGCCGACACATTGATTTCTGTGACACAATAAAAATATTGGTTCATTTCAATTCCTGCTTCTGTGTATCTGTTGCGTTTACATCTATGGCAAAGCATGTGGACATTTGTGTGACACGCCACTTACCCTCCGGCAGGCTGTCTGAGTCGCCGTGGGTAGCGGCGACAATCCCCCCCACAGAGGCGCCCCCCATAATCGCCACCACCTGCTGCTCAAACAGCGTGAGGGTCTCCTCCCACGGACCCCCACCTGTCTGGCCGGTACTCCTCTGGAGGGCAGCTGTACGCCGCTTGACCTCCACCTTTTTTTTTTATTTTTTTATTTTTTTTATTTAACAACAAAACAGAGTGACGACAACAACAGAAACAACAAAAAGATAAAAAATAAAAAATTTACAAAAATACTTTTGTGAGGGAGGGGAGGGGGAAGGAATTCATATAATATGTAAAAGAGAATTTAAAAAGAAAAGAAAAAAAATCTTAATTGGATTACATTGGAATATCTATATAATAATAATTATATGTATACATATACATACACATACAAACATACATGCACACATACATACACACATATACATATATATATACACATATACACCCACACACACACAATCCCCCCGAATCACTGACACAACAGCGATGCTACAACAACCACAATAGCATTAGCAATAACAACACCAGAAATACCGGCGACAGCGATAACAGCAAACAAATGACCGCAACGACACTAACAATAATGAGAGTCATACTAATGAAATTATGGAACAACAAAAGCCACCACAATCCACAACACTATGGCCCGGGCCAGAGGCCGGCCCGGCCCCCCGCACCACCAAAAAAGCAGGCCGACCGGCACCCACGTCCACCGTGGTGGGACGCCCGCGGGGCACCCCACAGGGCCCCGCCCCGCGGCCACCCGCCTGACCTCCACCTTGAGGTCCAACCACTTTTTTATAATCTCCGCGGGGGTGCGTGTCTCGGAACCCACCGCGTTCACCCTCTCTCAAACTTTCTCCCACTCCAAGCGTTTTCGTTTTGCACTGACGCCACTGGACAGGCTGCCAAACAAAACACGCTGTCGCTCCTCCACCTCGCACACCGTAAATTTTGTTTTTCTTGTCATTTTGTCTGCGTGCGAGGACAGGGAGACCCTATTTAAATAAATCTGCATATTTATAGGTGGGCGTAACGGGGGCGGGTCCGATAACTCTGAAATCTGCGCTCAATTCCTAACTGATTGGGATTTATCAAGGAAACACTCGTGGCTTTCGGCGCCCGCACACCTTGATACAAAAGAATTTTTTTCAGCGTGACGGACCTTGCGTGCGCTCGTTTCTGGTATGAGTCCCACGCAAGTGTTGATACATGAGGCCCCAGATGATTCCAGCTTTTACAACGGCATCTTGGCTAGTCTTGAGCAAAGTTCTTGTACTTTGATGAATATTTACCTGTGTTTAAAGTGACCTGTGACTAATCTCCGCTCTCCTCCTTTTCTCCTCCAGTGCCTCCACTCACTAGCGTTGCCCAACCTCTGCCACGGCTGCCACACTGTATCACTTATTCAATCACCTGCACACCTGAAAGCCCTCTCTCTGCCCTCCCCCTCCTTTCCATGAACCTCCTTCACTATATATATATATATATATATACATACCTACACATATATATATATATATATATACAGTACAGGCCAAAAGTTTGGACACACCTTCTCATTCAATGCATTTTCTTTGTTTTCATTACTATTTAAATTGTAGATTCTCAAAACTATGAATGAACACATGTGGAATCATGTGCTTAAGAAAAAAGTGTGAAATAACTGAAAACATATTTTATATTTTAGATTTCTCAAAGTAGTCACCCTTTGCTTTTTTGATAGCGCTGCAAACTTTAGCTGTTCTCTCACTGAGCTTCATGAGGTAGTCACCTGAAATGGTTTTTACTTCACAGGAGTGCCTGAAGTAACCCTGACAAGGTACTTCTGTCATCAAGACCAAAGGATGGCTATTTTAAAGAAACTAGAATACAAAACATGTTTTCGGTTATTTCACACTTTTTTTATTAGTACAAAATTCTACATGTGTTCATTCATAGTTTTGATGCCTTCAGTGATAATCTACAATGTAAATAGTCATATAAAAAAAAAAGAAAAGACATTGAATGAGAAGGTGTGTCCAAACTTTTGGCCTGTACTGTACATATATATATATATATATATATATATACAGTATACAAAACAGGAGATAAACACTGAAAACTGATCTAAAGAATAAAACACTGAGAACAGGAGGGAAACAGGGTCAAAGACAAACTGAAAACTCACAAGACTGGACTACAGAGTAACAGAAACAATAGGAAACAGAAACACTGGAAAAATACTCAAAATGCACTAAAATCACAAACCCAGGAGAAAACTAAATAAACTGAACATATGACATAAACAAGTTTGTAACAAGAGCCTAGATGTGTATTAGAAGGAATATTCAATGTGTTTACTATGCTTTTGATAACACTCAACATTTATACACGTCTTTAAGAACCTTATAAGGTCTTATGAGTGTCTTGCTCACTATAATAAATACTTATTAAAGGACCCTTATATAAGGTGTTATCAAAGGTACTTTCGAAGAGGTGAACATGTCATCATTGTTTGCAGGGAACTCAGTAGCTGCGTTTACATGGGCACAAATAATCAGGATAAATGCCCGATCAGAATAAAAATGTGTCATGTAAACATGTCGATTGAAAGATTCTGATCCAATTCAGCTCAGTTGGAAGAAAATTGTATTCCGATCAAGAGGGGTGGTTTATGCTGATTGTTATTCCAAAACGCGACCATGACACTTATTCTGGTTGTGACTCTCTAACCTGACTCGGTCTTCACTGTTGGTTTATTTATTGAGGTCAGTACAGGAGGTTTTATTATCAACACTTCTGTCACATCTGCATGCACAGTGTATCCTTTGACAGAACAGTAAAATAAGTATGCAAGGGCACCATCTAGTGACAACGTTTAACAGGGGGAAAACTCCTGAATTGGATGGAGTGAGCCGCGACTGTGTTTGTTGGTTTGTTGACAGCACAGGCGTAAATACAACTCTTCCTCTGCAGTTGTTTTAGTGAAATTAGACAACTCTGTACATATTCTGAATATAGTTTGGTGAATGTATACACACATCATGTTCGGATTATTTGACTTTGCGCCCATATAAACAGTGAATTCAGATTGGATCAAGAAATTTTGCACATGTAAATGTGGCTACTGAGGCAGTCTCAGTGAATACACACTTTGCAAATATGGTGTCTTTTGGTGCAACCGGAAGTTGTCCCTTATCTTGTTCTAAGTCAAAAACACAGAATCAGGATGCAGAAAAAAAAAAAAAAAACAACAACAAACAAACAGGAAGATGCATTTGGTACAAAACTACTAAAAGTCATGTGGTTAATACTTCCCGAAAAGCGGAAAGGAGTGAGGGTTGAGAAAGGGCAAGCAAAACTCTATCCTGTTGCCCAAAAGCAGACAGGGGAAGTAAAGACAGGACAAAAGGTAAAATTAAGTTTATCATGTAGCACATCTGCAAATAATAATATTAATAACAATAATAATAATATTTTTTCTATCTCACTGCCTTGGCTACTCATGGGCCTACAGCTCAAATACATCTTAATTGTTGTGTCAGTGTGTTAAAATGAGTGTAAAAGTCCTGTTTAATAATATGTAAGAGCTGCAATTAATTGTGTAATGAATTGTAGTTCTCATTTACTTCAAACCTGGTTTAAAAACTGTCTCAAAGTTAAATTATAGTTGAGTTTCAAAGAAAATCTTCAGCTGAATGAACTGAAATTTGTTCGTAACTCACCCCTCCCATGTCTCCTTAAATCCTGCTGGTTCTGGGAATTATGGGACGGCAGGTACACAGCAGCCAGCCAGCTACCTCCTAAAGTTTCCCTGACAGACACTTTATACGCTGGCTCAAGTGTGTGTGTGTGTGTGTGTGTGTGTGTGTGTGTGTGTGTGTGTGTGTGTGTGTGTGTGTGTGCTGCATACAGTCCTAGCTTATCGATGTTTCCCAGGCTTGAGGAAGAAAGAGAGAGGCAGAAGATTCAAGCTGTGCTGCTACACCAGCGGGAAATGCAGCCATGAGAGAGAAAAGGACAACTAAAGCTGAAGACAAATAGACAGACACACCGAGACTCATCCTTTTCTTTATCCATTTCTCTGTGTTACACTTTTTGGCTGATATGTAGGATAATACTTAAAAACCCAATGGCAGTTAACATGTAATATGTCTGAAGTGTGTGCAGCATTGTACACGCGAACACCTCAGAAGTCTGTGAACATTAAGCACGAGTCCCAAACCATGTCGAGACTTTACTAGCTTGGTGTGATGAATCAAAAGCATTCCTTCAATTCCAGTCCCGAAGGTCAAAATACAATCTTGATGAGCTGAGAGGTTGCTCAAGACAGAGGTGAGTACACACCCCAAAAACACCTCCATACAAGAGAGAGACTTTAGGCTGGTTTCCAGAGCTGGATCCCAGTGGAGCTTCTTTTGGTACAAAGAGGAACTGGGATCTTTAAAGTGTAATTTTCCGCTGAAAAAATACAGCTCGAGTCAGCATGTTCCAAGTTCTTTTTGATAACTTGCAGAATTTTAGAAATATCTCAGAGAAGGGGAAGCTCACAGTGATACCACCAAACTGTGCTGGTTAAAAAGAGATAGTCAGACACCTCACTCTGTCATTATATGTTCTGTTTGATAAAGTTTTTCCCTGGTCATGTGATTGTGATTTCATCGCATTTTCCCAAGTGTTTATGTTCCCTTTTGTTCCTGTTCCCCTGACGTCTTGTCTTGTGAGGTTTCAGTTTGTGCCTGACCCTTTTCCCTCATGTTTTCAGTGTTTCATGCTGTTGATCAGTTTTCAGTTCTTTGTTTTATTTTGTAGTAGCCCATCCTTGTGTTTCTAGTCTTGTTTTACTTCATTAGTTTGCCCTCCTGAGTAATTGTCTGCACCTGTGTCTCATTGCCTCATCTGCTTCTCGTTGCTCATGTCCCTGAGTGCATATATCAACGCAGTCTCACTCAAAAACATAAAATACCTACATTGGTCCATTTCGCAAAACGTAGCCATTTCACCAAAACGGCTCTGAAATTGTGGCATGTGTATGTTTCCTCTGCCCCGTCTTTTCTGCAGGAAGACTTCAGCTCACGTGACTGCCGTGTTTCTCCCTGCGTTAAGAAAAAACATGGAGAAACATCTCCTCTATTTTCGGTGGAAATTGCTATATTCAAAGATAGCTTGTGGCTTTAGCTTCCTTTTAATAACTTTTCTAGCGACAAATGTACACTTTGGTTTCACACTATCCGTTCGGTTTATCTTAACGATCCCTGGTTCTTTCGTTTCGTCGTACTTTCTTTCATCTTTGTCAATGAAATTGTAGTGGTAATATGTTTTTGTTGTTGCTACAGACGCTTTCAGCGAAGAACCGGAAGGAAGTTAATGCGCATCACGGTCCGAGTTGTTTTGAAAATATTTTTCAAACTTACATTTGACCACAAAAACGTTTCTATGCATTAAATAATGAGTTCTGTTTGATTTTTACAGCATGACTAAATCTTTAGAAAAATAATGAAACAGATTAAAGGTGGGGTGGGCAGGAATCCATTTAAGAAGCATCTTTTTTGTGGTGTATATACAAAACACTTTTAATCTCAGTCTATAGCTATTAGAAATTGATGACATTTAGTATTATGACGATATCCTTGTGTTTTGTTATGTCTGTGTAGTCAACATTTTAAATTTTTTGAGCGCTTCACTCTTTCTGACTGTAAACAAAGCCATTCTCTGCCTCCCCCACCCTGATTGGTTGAGAGGCGGACGCTGCTCCCTCGTGCAACTACTTCCGGTTTTCCTTGCTACCCTGGTCTGGCTTGACTGCTTTCAGACAATGCTCCCTCTCCCCGGTCGCTGAGGCTGAGCGGGACTCCACACCTGCGCTGCATCTACAATCAAGGCCCTTTAAGAAGCCAGCAGCCCTCAGTCTCAGCACCTGAGTATTGTCTTCGCTCCTGAGCGGTACAGACGCTTCTCCTGGCCTTCTCCTTGGCTAAGTGCTCGTGACTTTTGCTCCCTGTGATTCCTCGTATAATTTCTAACCTCATTCTCTTCTGCTTGTCCACAGTGTCTCCAGTCCACACAACAGTGAACCAGCATACTGGATTTTCCCCGTGCCTTTTACCCTGAGTTTTGGACATTAAATATACATCTTTAACTTGCTATCTGTCTCTGAGTAAGCTTCTGGGTCCACAAAATACACCACACACCACAGAATACTCAGGCCAGGAAAATGGACCCAGCAGACCTAGACAGATTACAACAAGCCGTCCACAAGCTTGGAGCTCGCCTCGGTCAGCATGAGGACATGCTCCAGGCCTCACCGTTCAAGTAGCACAACTGGCAGATCAACTCCTCTCCCAGCTCCCCCCGCAGCAATAAGGGTCTCCCCCCTTTGTGAGTATGGCTCCCTCTTCACCCTCTCCTGCCTTCAAAGAACCTTATGTCCCTCCTCCTGAGACGTATGCT